CACTTTAGATTAAAACCCCCAAACCATTCTCTCACCTTGTTCAAAAACTCCCCGCATTCACTCAACTTTTCCCAAAATCTCTCTCTCTCTCCTCTACACTTCTCTCTTCTCCAGGTGCATAACGCTTATTATAACCCACTTTTCACATCCAATCTTTATTTTACTCCACATAATCCTTGAATTAATACATTTATAGTCCCTCTTTTCCTGCCATAGCTTATCCTTCAACATTATTGCTACTCCTTCTTTAGCTCTAACTCTATTTGAAACCCCTGACCTAATCCCATTTATTCCTCTCCACTGAAACTCTCCCACCCCCTTCAGCTTTGTTTCACTTAAAGCCAGGACATCCAGCTTCTTCTCATTCATAACATATTATATATAAATATATATTATATATAAAATTTAAAATCACTTTCACCTCCTTTGTAGTCAGGAGGAGAATGTATTTTTATACAGTATGTATTTGGTTAAATAGTCTGCAAGGTATTAGTGTTATGAGTTAGTTTTTCTTTTATATATTTGTATAATTTAGGCCATATATATCCTAAAAAATATTTTCATTGTTTAAAGTTTAAATAATACGAACGGTGGGTGGAAACATTGTGTGCCAATTGTCGGTAGATGAGTGCAGATGAAGCGCAGCCGAGACTTAAGAATGATAAGAAGAAAATTGCTGTTTCCATGAGTGTGTCTTCCCCCAGGATAACCAAATCATCGAGATCTTTTATAACCGACCGCAGTACATTGTTACAGGTAAGTATACTGTACTAACTAATGTGAGAGGTAAAAAAAATCATGTATATTTACATGATGTTTCTAGGTAACATTGTGCTTTTGAAAATGGAATTTGTTAATCTTACCTTGCCACTTCTTTTCTATAGTTGCAAGCGACTGGTCGATGACTGGTGCTTGAGTTTTAGTGTACATTCCAGTAGAGGAGGGATGCACAACCTGTGGGCTCTTTTGTGGGTTATGTAAAAGGAAATTAAATTGCCACAGACTTATGATGAATACCTTCTGTTGGTTTTACTTATTTTATAAATTGTGTGCAACATGCCTCATTTTCAGATGTTGTTAACTTGTGACTGAAAAGGCTGTGCATCCCTGCAGCAGAGCATCACTAAGCCAGCAATCCATTTTATGGAAAATTTTATGAAGATTTGATTGATCCAAAACAAGAAAAATTGTTCAGGCCTCCTGACATCTCATCAAACAAGTGAATAATGTTTACCAGGGTATATTTTACTACAGAAGTTAAGACAAGTAGGATTATTTGTTAAACATAATATTTTAATATTGTTTTGTATTGTTATGCTGTACTGTGATGCTCCTACATGCACTGTTCATTCTAATACTCTGAATGGACAGCGGCAGCATTTAACAACCCTAATCAGTATTAATAACTCATAGTTTTTGTGACAGAATCTTCAGTGATGACTGCCACAGCTTTGGAGGAAAGTTAGAAAAAATATGTTTTTCAGTTTATGTATTGATGGCATTAATTGCTTTTCTTTATTTACAGATACCCGTGAACAAGTTACATATAGTAAATAACGGCAGTAAGACTATCAAAATTTGCTCTGACGTGGAGAAGGGCACAGATGGTGAAAGACATAAGAACAGCTGTAAAGAGAATTTAAATTCTGAAGCACAAATTACAAAAGTAGTGCACATAGAGCCAGAAGATAAATTACAGGAAGAGAAAGTAATGATGTCTCTTGATGTAAGTGATGATGAGATGGCTTCTGCAGTTGAAAGCAAGGGAAAGGAAGAGGGCAGCAAGAAAGATACGGTCACTGTGCCAGGAAAAAAACCACAGGTTCGTGCAACTGCTGAGGACATTGAAAACATCCTGAATGATGACTCTGATGATGGATCAAATAACTCTGACAATGAACCCTTACTAGACGGTGAACATCCTGCATCAAATGACAAAGAGAGTAAATTACAGAAAGTGAATGGCAAAGAAAAGGCAAAGCCCAATTTTAAAGGAGGTCCTGTTGATTCAGATTCAAAACCTTCTGCAAAGGAAAAGAGCAGGTCTCCCAATAAACCTCTGGCAGATAAAAAAGGAAACCCAAAGAAAAATGAAGTAGAAAGCGAGGCCTCTAATAATTCTAGTGATTCGGATGATGAACCTCTTAGCGTGAAGAAAGAAAAGAATTCAAGATCTCCAGTGGTAAAGAAAAATCAGTCTCTGAAGGTTGGAAAGAAGAAAGCAGAGTCTAGCACAAGTGAATCTGACAGTGAAGAAGACAAGAAGACAAAATCTGGAAGAAATCAGAGAGAAAAAGATCCAGAAACCCTTAGTGACTCTGATTATGAACCATTTGCTAAAAAGAAAGGAAAAAATTCAGCAAAATCCAAGAAATATGAAGAAAATTCAGAAGATTCAAGTGATGCGGATTATAAACCATCAAAAAAAAAGAGAGAAAGGACAGTTAGAGGAGGTGCAAGGAGAGGGAACCCAAAGAAAGGGAGAAAAGTGGTTAACAGAAAAGCTAGCAGTACAGATGATTCAGATGATGAACCAACACAAGAGATGTCAGCCTCAGATTCTGAATATGAAATACAAAAGGCAAATAAATCCAGGCCTAAGAGAAATACAAAGGTTCTCAAGAAGAAGATGCCTTCTGATGACTCTAGTAATTCTGACTCCAGCACCCAGCCTAGTAGGAGGTGCCTAAGTAAAGCCAAGAATAAGGAGCAAGAATCTCATTCTAGCGAATCGGAGATAGAGGATGCAAAGCCGCGGAAAGGAAGAGGAGGAAAATGGAACAAGGCAATGATGGAGGAGGATGGATCGGATTCAGATTATGAACCTCAAGTGAAGACAAAAGGAAGGCCACGTAGAGTGACTCCGAAGAAGAAGAAGGAAGAGTCAGAGACTGGCGATTCAGACTCAGAATCTGAGCCCTTGGCTAAAAAGAAAACAAATTCAAAATCAGCTGCGGCAAAACAAAAAAGTAACAAGATCAAGAGGTCGCGCGAGCCTCAGAGTTCCAGTGAGTCTGACAGTAAGCCTCTCTCCAAAAAGAGCAAGAAACCCACCTCTCAAAACAGCAAAAAGGAAGATACGTCAGGAGAAAGTGATGCTGAAGTCTTGCCAAAAAATGACAAGCTCAAAATAGTTACAACTAAGAAAGAAGTAAAAGAGGATAGTAATTCTGAAAGTGATGCAGACAAGGAACATGATTCTGACAAGGACTCTGAGTGTGAGCCAATTGCAAAAATAAAAACAAAAGATGCTCTAAAAAAGAAAAGGGAAACTGCAGTTACAGAGTCAGACAATGAAGCCAATTCCACATTGAATCCAAAGAAAAAAAGTTTAGATTCCAAGGCATACATGAAAGCTAAGGCAAAGCCACCTTTAAAAAATGACAATTCTGATTCTGAGACAGATGTGAAAATTAGGGCCAAATCCCCCCAAAAAGCTAGTTCAGATTCTGAGGCAGACATGGAAGTGGATGAGAAATTACCTCCAAAGAAGATGAGTAACAAAACCAAGAAAGGCTCGGTTTCTTCAGATACATCGCTTGGCTCTGACAGTGAAGATCAGAAGGAAAGTGCAAAATCAAGAGAAAAAACCAAGAGCAGTAAATCCCAAGGTGCTGGCAAGCAAGAAAAGGTAAGATATCTCTACTGTGAATGTTTTCTTGGTTACAGTCCATAATTGTGCTGGGCTTACTACTGGCATTCAGTTATCAGAATTTGTTACTATACTGTTTATCGTAATGTGAAGTTCTCCAGATGTTCCTCTTGTATTAATTCCATGGCTCATCTACAGAATGCTTCCGACCATCCCTCTGAGAGACTTGTCTATTTTCATAGCATCTCTCTGAAACACTTGCTTATCGTAGTACTTTCCCCACAGCGTCCTTAGACTAAAATGTTTATGAAAAATCTTAAATTGACCTTTACTTCAGGTTAATGAGTGCCAGAGAAGAGGTCCTTAAGCCCTGTAAAATGGCACTACAATGGAAGCTTGAGTGACCTGGGGCTATTACTGCAAAGTTCATTATATAACATGTATTTGGAAAACATTTCTCTTTAATTTTCTCACTTTCTAATGCACATGCGCCCCACACATCTTGCACGCACTACACACGTATTTTTGCAAGCGATTCAGATCTGTAAGATTTCCCATTTGGTGTTGGCTATAGCATCTGTAAGGAAGTATCTATTTTAAAGGTTCCTAGCTAGATTAGTATTTAAGGCAATAAACACTATGTTTTGCAGTACGGGATTTTCCAGTCTCCTGCAGACAGTTGTCATTCTTCAACAAGTTCTCTGTCCCTGTGCATTTATAAGAGTTTGCAATTTTTCAGCCTCCTTTAAGGTCCTGACATTGTAATTCTGGCCTAATATCTAAAATTACCACTTCTCATGCACATTATATCTGACTTTGCTGAGAGTGGATTACAATAGAGATATTGAATTACCGTTTACACTGTACTCATCCTCAATACATTTTGCTGATGTCAGCTTACCCCTATCTTTAAGGTAGTATGGAAACTTTCTATAGTATACAAGAACATTTTGTTTGATATGCTGCACAGGCCTTTTCAAGTTAGTAAACAATACATGGGTTACAGAATTTATGTAGTAAAGAAAAGTGAGAAGTAAGTGCAGGTGATGACCCAAAAGGTCACTGAAGTAGAGATGTGGGTTTATTAGACTGCTTTAATCAGTTAAAGAAGTGTAAAAATTTCTGAGTATTTATTTTCCTTCTTGATTAGTTCTGCCTCTGTCCATTTTATATGGTGGTTATGAGTGTCTCAGTATATAACACAAGTGCTGCTGGTATTTTGTGAAGCATGTATATTGTATGTTGCTTGATGCATGTGTCTAAGTTCCTTGAGGTTTCTGGTTAGAACCATTACATAAGATGGAGTATACACCAGGATTTTTTTTTTTCATTTCTGGTTAGTTAATTTTGGATATTGTGTTATTTTATGGTGGAACTGGCTAAAACAGCATTTAAAACTGGCACATTACAAGTTACATTAAAAATTAAAATTAAAAAAAAAAAATTTTGGGACAATCATAAGTACAGTGAGAAGTTGCAAATAAAGAATTAGTCAGTTACATTGAAAGTGCATCAGTTCAATGACCTGCATTTATGGAGTGGTTGAATTGAGATAGAGAAATCAAAACATAAGAATTTGCAGAGTTAATGGATATAACATGTGAAATTTAATAAGTGTTTTTTAACAGAGTAAAAATGTTAGCAGATGTGAAATTTTTGGCATTTTCCAGCAGAGTTCTAGGGCCTTGTATTTGCATGGAGTTTTTGAATAGGTTGAGTTGTACATCTGGAATGTCAAGAGGTACTTGTTCCTTGTATTGTGTCTGTGTTCTGTAGATATAGTGTGAATCGGTGGGGGAGGAGATATGTTGTCTGGAACCTGAATGAGTAATTATTCTAAGAGCTGACTTTTGTTGAGTAATAATAGGTTTAAGGTGATCAGCTGCTGTTGATCCCCTGCACAGATACCATAGGTGAAGGGTGGATAGAGTATAGTAGTACAAGGTGAGCAGGATGTCTGGGAAGCATAGTAGCATATTTTTGAATCTTCACTGTTTTGATTTTTTTTTCATGTTCTGGATGTGTTAAACTTTAGTTTGTTGCTGGGTGTATTCCCCAAGAATTTACCTTCATTCTGCCCAACAGTTGGTGTATTATTTCTGTTCAAATAAACTTTTTTGCTTTGTCACCACAGAGTTCAAACCTGGTGGTAGTGACTAATTCTTGACCTTTTATCATTTATGAGCTGTTTAGCATAACAAACACTTTTTAAACAACTGGTGTTTTTCATGGCCTTGAAAACTGGACTAGCAGAAGTCAGTCCAATGTTTTATGCACCAGGCTATTCCAGCCTAAAAGATTACTCTCAACCCTGCTACATACTGTAGCGATGGAATTTGTGTTGATTGCCAGCTGCAGTCTGACTACATTTTTACAGCTGTTGGTTGCTTGCATTTGATAACTATAAATTCCATAACTGTAGTAGGTAGCAAGTTGTGAGTGCAGATTGTGACCTGGTGAAAATATTGTTGAGGATATTACAGCTGAATAAGATAGAAATGTTACTGAATGTGTGGAGTGAGGCATCAACAAGGGGCTCTTTTCAGTGCTCATAAGAATAATGCCCCATTCTGCTTAAAAATTGTGAGATGGAAGGAGAACCTTCACAACAGTGCATGTCAAGCGCTCCAAACTTTCATGTCTACGAGCAACGACTACATGTAAAGACCAGATAAACTAGTAAATTGTACCTAGTATAATATTTGAAAAAAATGGCAAATTTAGAGGTGTCTGGAAGATAAGACTATTTTTTTGCTATATATTCTTCACTTCACATACTGCTCATTTTCATGATTTGCCAATTTTCAGGAACACATACCACACATTACAATGGGATTGCCATTTCAGTCTCTAACCCCAGAAAAAATTACCTGATCCAAAAACAACCCTCCAGAAGTGGAACAAGTTGGTATAGGCATACTCTATCCCATGCAGTAGCTGTGACTAAGATGTACATTGGAGAAACCTCATGAACTTGGCACACACAGGAACATAAATGTGTGCTGCATCCATAACACCAGCACCACTTGTCATACTTATAAGTAACCACAACCATCTTACGAAATGGACAGAGGTAGAATTAATCAAGGAGGGAGATAAATATGCAAGAAAATGATTACCATTGCTTTAGTCAGTATCTAACAATATTATACAAAACCAAAGACATTTCAAATTGCAGAACAGGTGAGGTTTGAACCCATGGCAGGCAAGTCCCAAAACTCGCACATCAGTGTTATAACGCGTTTTGTGACTTTTTTGCAATAGTGTTACTAAATTTTGCAAGTCCAGAGAAGTTTCCAAATTACAAAACTGTTGGCACACTTATTACCCCAGAAACATTCCACTTCAGTGATCTGTTGGGTCCAATCTTCTGTATTTGACTAGTGATGTACTCTTGCTGCTTATTCTCTCCAACATATAAAGTCTGTATCCCACATTGTTTACTGAGCTGAAAAGCCTATATACCAAATGAAATGTAATATAGTATACAGTACAAGGTTTCAACCTACAATACTTCCAGTATCTCCTTTTATTATGCAGTGCTGATGAACTCTCCCATGGGTTTGACACTGTACGAATATTAATTTCCAACATGTATGTTAACCTGCCCACAAGTATAAACTTGAATTTTTGTCTGTTTTGTGTAACTTTCCCCCAGAGTCACAGCAACGATGAACTTGCTCGCCAGAAAAAATACCTCCGCTTGATTGGTATTAATATCAGAAACTACGAAGTTTTGCTGAAAGGCTGCAAGAGCATCAAGAGCAAGAAGGCGAAGCTCCTTGAGGTGATGCAGGAACATGGGCTGAAAGGTGAGACCTGAGCCATCTACAGCCGTAGCTGCACATGCCCATCACTGACCTAGTATTCATAAGTTTTGGGGAGATGGGATACAGCCCAAGTATTTGTCACAAGTAATAGGTTACTTTGTGCACACTCCTCTTACCATGTTTGGGTGTGCCTTCCACCTTGGTGAAACATGCAAGAAAGTAGACAACACTACCTATTGGGAGATGCTCTCCACAGCAAATATAACTGGAACTGAATAAAAGTTGGTGTCATCAACTACAATTCTAAGTGGTATTTCTCAAATGTACAAAATGGAAAAACTTTTGTCTGATGGCCTTCATTTGATCCTGAGAAGGTTTTGGGCTGTAGGGCAAGAAAAGTGATGTTCCATGCCAAGTATTAGAAATATGTAAAGATCAATTGCCTTCTTTGGTTACAGTATTTACCTGGGCAATGCTGCCTCCTTATGTTAAATATTTATAAATACATAATAGATACTTTGCATACTGGATAATGTGCTGACAAAGGCAGCTAATTGGTACAAGTGCTCACACCTACTGGTACTGTATATACTAGAGTGTAGTCCAACTTCATGTATAAGTAGATCACTGACCTTTTTTTATTTTTTCAAAAAGTTCTTTCATTTGAGAGCAGTACCTCTTCAAGGGGGGCTCCTTGGCATGGTGAAGAGGCTCTTGGTCTGAGGAATTAAACCTGTCGGTCTCCTTCCTCAGACCGAACCTAATTACCCCCCAATCCCCCGTTCCCTATCCCATCCTCCCCATCCTCCCCTTTTTCCTTTCCTCCTCCTCCCTCCCCACCCCTCCCTTTTGCCCTTCCTTTTTGGCCTTTGGTTTTTTTTTTTTTTTCCCACAGGCACGCTAGTTCCTAGGTAGGGGAAAGGGTACCGGGGTCCATCCCATTCCGTTGAGGTTCTTGGCAGTGGCGTAGTTTGCCGTGGAATCTGGATTGCCTGGGGATGTCCCGATCCCTCTCCGGTATCCTGAAGGATGGCTTTGGGTGTCTCTCGGGCGACGGGTGTATCTCTAGAAGCCACCTTTCGGATTTCGGGGGTGGTGGCCGAAGGATGTATGCTTTGTGGCGGATTTCCGGCTGCCCTCTCTTTTGTCCACCGAGGTAGCTCGGCAGATGTGGGGTTGCTCTCCCAGATTGCCGGTTTACTGGCATGATGGGTAGGGAATGGCGCGGGTTTCATGCTGCATCTGCGCTACTTGCGGTGCTGAGGTCCTCTTGGGTGCGGAGGGAGATTTCTGGCCCTTTCATTCCTCCTGGGAACTATCCCTCCCTGGTCCCCCCCCCCCTTTTTTTTTTATTCTTTTATTTTTTTTTCTTTTCTTTTCTTTCTTTTATTTTTTCTTAAAAACAAAAAGAAAGAAGTAACCTAACCATGGCAGCCCTAGTTCATGAACCTGCTACCCCCGGGCCCCTTCTTGATACCACACCCCATTCTGACCCCACCTCTTCTTTGGACCACTCTTCGGACACTCCTCATGCCTCTGTACCTCTTGCCGGTGCTGTTTCCTCACCTGCTTCAGGTACTGAGGCCTCGACTGACTCCTTCGATTTATCTGACCTTCGCTCTCCTCTGACTATGCTTCCGGCCTCTCCCTCTAGCCAAGAAGAGTATCCAGAAGGAGAACGTAGAATATAACTTTGGTATAATTGTGTCTAGCATTAGGAATAATATTAGGAGAGAAGTAAATAATGAAGATGATTGTTATAGGAATGCAGTTAGAAGCCTGAGTAGATCTATAACCCACTATGATAACATGAACGTAGATAAGTATGTTTATGGAGCAACTTGCAATGTGAACAGACTGACTGATGTTGTAGTGGCCAGGCTTAGGCTTGGTTACAAGTACTTCTGGCAGTTTGGGAGACACACAGATGATGATCAAACTAAATGTAAATTATGTGATCAGGCATATGGTCACTCTCTTGAACACTATGTGCTTAATTGTCCACTTATTGAGGAATACAGAGACAGACAGTATAATAACCTATGTGACATGTCAAGATATCTTATTAATGAAAATAAGATACCAGATATACTAAGCAAATTTCCTAAATTTGCTTGTAACAGATAAGTGAACTATAGATATGTAGATATAAATCCATATGTATTCCTGTTAACCCTTTGGGGCCTAGTTCCTAGGCCTTTTGTGTATCCACATGCTCTCACGCTACCGTCCACAGGATGGATATGGGGTGCACAATAAACTAGCCACTTCGGTGGCAAAATCTAAATCTAATCCTCTACGGTGCAGCAGTTTTCGAATCGCTGGCCCGTTCCACGTCGGACCAACTCTGGTCCCACGCCTAAACGCCAACGACAATTACCTGCTGATGATACTTCTCCACCTTCTTGTTCTTCTCAGAAAAGATAGACATGTCCTTCACTACCTTTCCACGCTCAGTTTCAGACTGCACAATGGACTAAATTCTTCACTTTACGACCGACTTCCTCTACTGCCTATCTTTCTGACCACAGTATTGGCAAGGCACTCCTACACCATGTTGGTAAAGATATTTCTTTTCATGCTCTTAAGAGCGGTACGCGCATCATCACCGTACAGAATGCTACCCAGGCTCATGAGCTTTCTCGTCTTTCCCATATCGATACTGTTCCTGTCACTATTGAAAAACATCATTCCCTCAATTCTTGTAGTGGTACCGTCATTCTGCCCCATACCATAGTTCAACAAAATTTCCAGACATGTGGCACTGACATTCTTGAACAGCTGGAACTCCAAGATCTCCCAATCCTCAAGGTAGACACTTACGTTCTTCCTGCCCGCGGGCAGAGACGATACCCTAGCAATGTGGCTCGTTTAACTTTTGACAGCCCTGAACTCCCATCCTCAGTTTATGTAGCAGGACCTCTTCAAGGGGGGCTCCTTGGCGTGGTGAAGAGGCTCTTGGTCTGAGGAATTAGACCTGTCGGTCTTCTTCCTCAGACCGAACCTAATTACCCCCCAATCTCCCCTCCCCTATCCCATCCTCACCATCCTCCCCTTTTTCCTCTCCTCCTCCTCCCCACCCCTCCCTTTTGCCCTTCCTCTTTTTGGCCTTTGGGATTTCTCCCACAGGCGTGCTAGTTCCTAGGTAGGGGAAAGGGTACCGGGGTCCATTTCCCATTCTGTTGAGGTTCTTGGCGGGGGGCGTAGTTTGCCGTGGAATCTGGATCGCCTGGGATGTCCGATCCCTCTCCGGATCCCGGAGTAGCTTTGGGGTGTCTTTCGGGCGATGGGTGTATTCTGGAAGCCACCTTTCGGATTCCCCGGGGGTGGTGGCCCAAAAGGAGGTATGCTTTGTGGCAGATATCTGGGGCCCCCCTCTCTTTTGTCCACCGAGGTAGCTCGGCAGATGTGAGGTTGCTATCCGGATTGTTAGTTTACTAGCATGATGGGTAGGGTATGGCAGGGTTCCATGCTGCATCTGCGCTACTTGCGGGTGCTGAGGTCCCTTTGGGCGCGGAGGGAGATTTCTGGCCCTCTCATTCCTCCTAGGAACTATCCCCCCCCAGTCCCCCTTTTTTTTTATTTTTTTTTTTTATTTTTATTTTCTTTTCTTCTTTCTTTTTTTTCTTAAAAACAAAAAGAAAGAAGTAACCAAACCCCATGGCAGCCCTAGTCCAGAACCTACTACCCCCGGGCCCCTTCTTGATACCGCACCCCGTTCTGACCCCCCCTCGTCTTTGGACTACTCTTCAGACACTCCTCATGCCTCTGTACCTCTTGCCGTTGCGTTTCCTCCCCCGCTTCAGGTACTGAGGCTCGACTGATCCTTCGATTTATCGGACCTTCACTCTCCTCTGATTATGCTTCCGGCCTCTCCCTCTACGGGGGGCAATTTTCAAATCCCCCCGCCCCGTTCCCGTCGGACCAACTCGGGCCCCACCCCCTTAAACGCCAATGACAATTACCTGCTGATGATACTTCTCCACCTTCTTTTCTTCTCAGAAACAATCGACACGTCCTTCACTCCCTTTCCACGTTTCAGTTTCAGACTAAAACAAGGTTTTAAATTCTTCACTTTACGACTGACTTCCTCTACTGCCTATCTTTCTGACCACAGTATTGGCAAGGCACTCCTACGCCATGTTGGTAAAGATATTTCTTTTCATGCTCTTAAGAGCGGTACGCGCATCATTACTGTACAGAATGCTACCCAGGCTCATGAGCTCTCTCGTGTTTCCCATATCGATACTTTTCCTGTCACTCTTGAAAAACATCATTCCCTCAATTCTTGTAGTGGTACCGTCATCTGCCCCATACCATAGTTAAACCCAAAATTTTCCAGACATGTGGCTGACATTCTTGAACAGCTGGAACTCCAAGATCTCCCAATCCTCAAGGTAAACACTTACGTTTTTCCTGCCCGCAGGCGGAGACGATACCCTAGCAATGTGGCTCGTTTAACTTTTGACAGCCGAGAAACTCCCATCCTCAGTTTATATAGCAGGACATCGGTTTACAAGTTCGAAAGGTGATCCCTACCCCCAAAAACAGTTAGAAATTGCTGGCGATTTGGCCATCCAGCGAAATATTGCAGATCTATCGCCAAATGCCCAGTCTGGGGGTGCCGAAGGGACCATTCTAATACGTCTTGCAATCGATCTCCCTCTTGCCTTAACTGTCTGAGTTCGCCCTTCGTACTCCGCCGTTGTCAAGTCTATTTAAACGAGCGGGAAATCCGTTACCTCAAAGAGACAGAAGGTCCCCCCTTATGCCAGGCAGTTTCTCATCTCCGCCTCCAAGGGAGACCCCCACGTGTTTCTTTTTCCCGTGTTTTAAAACGTCCCCCCACTTCTGGTATCCATCTTCTACACCCACCTCTGTGGTTACCTCTCCCATAGTCACTCCTGAAATCTAATCCTTTTGCTGTCCTTGGCTCGACGCCCCTACTTCAACCCCTCAGTCTGATCTCGCTTCTTCGTGTTCTCTCTCACAAGCCTCAGTATCGACGAGACCTCGTACGACGGGCACCTCCCCAAACGTCC